AGTCTATAAAGTGGCATATCCAAAAAATATTTTGTTGTATACAGGATGTCACAAAAAATGTTATGATAAGTTTTAAGTTTTTTTAAATTGCACCCCCCATTTTTGTAGATAATGGGATTCGGCATAAAATTCTGCATATAGTACACGATTTTTATTTAAAGCACTATGCGGTGTTGCCATTATATGCTATTTATATTACTAATACCGGGTGCGTCTCAAAAGTGGCTCACCCCTATAACATTCTTTCACATAAAAAAACGAGATTTGGTATGTTAGTATATGACATAAATTAGGATTGATTGGCGTATTCAATTTTCTTCGGCCACTTCCTGTTTCACCGGAAATTACTACAACTTTTGATTTTTAAATGGCACCCTCGGTACTTTTTTACTTTATTCGGTAGAAAATGACATTCTTAATAGAATAACATATCATCCTGCATCCTAATATCATATATGAACTTTTCTCGCTTAATAAAAAATCGTATTTTAAAATTCAATCTAGAGTGCCATGGCTATGCTAAAAACACTAATTCTTAATCAAGGAGCCTTGGAAAAATAGATTTGATCGTCTAATGTTTTAGTGTCTTGTCCTGGCCAGTTAGAAAATGCTCAATTCGTATTTTTAATCATATCTTATTTTTTTCAAATGGGACGAGGGTGGCTTATTAGCATATTTGGAAAAAGCATTTTTTAAAAATAATTTGATACCTACCTAACCAACTTGGTAATTCGAGTTAAATTTTAGTTACGAACCGCAAGTTATAATTTCAAATAAATCATATGCGAAAATATCAAAAGTTGACATATGATATGTCATTCTATTCAGAGTGTTATTTTCTATCGAATAACGTAAAAAAATACTGAGGATGCCATTTGAAAATCAAAATTTGTAGTCATTTCCGGTGAAACAGGAAGTGGCCGAAAACAATTGAATACGTTAATCAATAATAATTTGTGTCATATACTAACATACCAAATCTCCTTTTTTGACTGAAAAAATAAAAAAGTTATAGGAGTGAGTCACTTTTGAGACGCACCCGGTATATTACTTCATAGTGATTAGTGATTGACAATATTATTTAGAGAAATTACATGTTTTCTATATGCCATTTTTAAAATAAATTGAAAATATCTGATTTATTTAGCCTACATTTTGAGAACCCAGAGGACAATCAGCCTCAATCGGCATACAGCAAATGCGACGCCCTGTGTTACCACACGGATAAGAAGGCACACACTTAACTTTATAAGATAATCTGCATTTTAGTTTAGTTGAAAATAACTGTAAAAATGCACCGTATGATCGAAAAAAAACAGCGTCCAGTTGGCTTGGAAATGACAATCGATGACACTCTCTATATAATTTTACACATAGAATGACAGGGATCTTCATTTCAAAACCATCGCTGACAACATTTTTTCTCGATCGGATTGCATTATTGTGTGTCAAAAAAAACACAGTGCGTTTTTCCAGAATCATTAGTAATGTCAGTAATATAATGTAAATTAATTCTCGTAGTTTTTTGTGTAGAAAATTAACACACACACATTCAAGATGTGAATGACATTGGTGGTGGCATATTTACAAGACTTCGATTATCTTCTGTGACTTCAACCGACCGTCAAGAAATTACAAAAAGTTTACAAAATTTACTTTTTTAATTTCCTTTTCTTATTTCCCTTCAGTGTTTTTACAGAAAATATACCTGGGCGTGTATTTAAGAGACCCCCGGTATATTTGGTCGTACAATTCTTATCACAAACGAATTAGTGACCTAAAAAATCAAAAGTTTTTTTTGTCGAAATTTAGTGTCTAATAAACTGGTCCATAGCATTTCGGATAAGTAAAAGTTTTTAAGATCGCTTAAATGTCAATACAATCAAGCATGGAATGAATCATGTATTTTATGTAGGTTGTACGTATGAGTACGTTATAATCTCTGTTCACTATCTATATAGGACAGATATTTAGTAAGCATTACTTTTATATGGTATACAAAACTTTCATCTTACGTTTTATTATTCTTGTGATAGAGGTAATTAAAGAACTGTAGATACTAAAATAATTAATATGCATGTATTGTCAAATGAGGATCTATGTTACACAACCCACACAAAAATTATAAATTATACAGGAAAGAATATTACAGTTAATAATACATTGTGCATTTTTTATAAAAAAAAATATATTTCTTTATATTATTTTGACCCACTGCATGAACACTGTCTTCATTTAACATACAAACTGCCTTTCTTAAGAAATGTCACGGCCTGCTTAACGATATCACAGTTGCAGCAGATAAAACCATCGTCGGAATTTATACAAGATTTGAATTCGGTAAAACCAAACTATTAATAGTTAATGACTTGCTTATCTTTAATCTTTCTAACTTTTAACTTACTATTCGGATTAATTACACACTATAATTATTTTAAAAAACGTAAAAATATGATTACCAGAATTATTTGTTGTATTTTGCACAGGTATGTACAGAATTGGTCAAATTGGACGCTTTTAAAGCGAAACACCCTTTTCTATAGAGACGAAATGTAGAATGTAAAATGAGTAAGAGGGGGGTTAGTCACTGCGACCTTAAAGATCTATGGTGCCCTCACACAGTCTATAACCCATCATACCCCTGTTGTAGAGGGGACAGGGTATTTCCCATCCTCCTCTGACAACAGTTCTTCCTCCGAGGGTACACACCCTTCCACGGTTGGAGTTTGGCCCTCCGTGCCGCCCTTCACAGTCGAGGAGCTTGCCTCCGGCTGAGGAACCCGTGAGGTGGAGGCTGGAGGATCTGTCTCCATTTTCTCCACCTCTTTAACTTGGTCTCCCCTTAGACCTGATACCTGTGTTGTCCAGTTTCTATAATAGAGGATATGTCCATCGTTCTCTATTGCCTCTTTGGTCAATTGATAAATACAATATTTGGTCATTTGAGGTCAATTCCTATTGTAGGAACCTGACCATGACCCTCCTCCCTCGAGTTGATGACTCGCCAACTCGATGTTCTTACATTGAAGTTCTGACCCTGGATAAGGCTCAGCAGGTAGGTGGTGTCTTTCACCTTGCTCCTCTGGCCGCCCCTTTAGAGATGTTTTCTCCCTTCACTGCAACCAGTTCCGGCCCTTGCCAATTTTTAAGTTTAGGTGCGATTTTCACTAACAATTTCGCCGACTCTTGAGATACACAATCTATGAGGATCATGCCCACCCGAAAGTGTATCCCCGCAAAACACAGCTGACCCACATTTTGTAGATCGTTGTGTTGCGATCCAATCGCCACTACTTCGTCCAGTATAGCATCTTCTAGAGACGTTTGCTGGTCGGTGGTCAGAGTAACCTCTGGGAAATCCTTTGGCAGCACCGCCATTTTCACTTGTCCAGCAATAGCGACAAAGCTGGTGATACGTCCCTGCTTGCCTCCCAGTGTTGGACGGCTTTCCATCCTGGCTTTTTTCCTCCTTGCCGGAGAAGAGGTTAGAGGTTCTCGATCCCTCTCTTATCCTTTGATGGAGATGAGTCAGGTTGTTTCTTGGCTTCTTTACTCTTTTTCGGAGGGGTGTTTTCGCTTTTGCTTCCTCTGGAGCAAGTCCTTCGTGGAGCAGTCGGAGGTATCTCCGTGCTTCTGCTCCGCTAAGACCTACTCTCAGAGGATCGTCTAGCCCGCCTGGGTGACCCAGGCCGGGTAGACAAAACGGTAGCTTGTGTCACTTATTGGGTCTAGAGGTAGGCTCCCGACCCTTGTTAGAGAAGGTGGTAGCTTGTGTGCCACTTGTAGAGGATGATCCCAAGCAAGTGTCAGCTGCCCCTTTTGTAGTTTCCTTTGGATTTGGTCCCTTGGAACTTTCATTTGTAATGTTCTCAGTGTCGCTATGAGGCTTCCCCACAGCTTCACCGGTGGTGTTTTTAGTACTAGATCTCATAGTGTTCCCACGAGTCGCTAGGGATAGTCGGTCCACTTCTACAGAGCCCCGCATGAAGAAGTAGGGGTAAATACAATGGGGTGCCCCCTGATGCCCCAAGGTTGAGGCCAGTAATGGCTAGTCCTCTATCTAGCCACGCATCCCTTTGACCTGGTCCCGCCATCTTGGTTTTAGGTTTTTGGCGAGGTTGTCTTCTCTTGGTCCAAGCGTTTAAGCCAAGACCCCCCACACCCTCTACCCGCAAGACATGACCACAGTCAATAGAGGGTGTCTGGCATGACGGACAGGGGACAGGGGTAGCCCCGTCCGGCATCGTTATATGTCTTGGTGCAATTCCCTGGCCACGACACTACAGCCAGGAACAAGACGATGAGTGAGATGCTTAATAGACCAAGCCAAGCGCTAGGAGGATCCCCCCAGCACCTGACCAGGAGCTTCCCCACCAACGACAAGGTCTTGCATCTCCTAGGGGAAAGAGACGAAAACTAATATTACTATCTGAAGCTCCATTTTTATCTAAAACATAATAGTTAATAACGCTTATCAATATCTGTTACCGTTTCGGAGTTACAGGGTGTTTTTCAAAAATTAACATTTCAAAAATATAGCATACTTGATATTTTGCTCGATTCCTTTTTTGAGATATATAGTTTTTAAAAATTCGACCCCCTTGATTAAGTACTACACATTTAAACTATATCTAATAACAATAAAAATTAATAGCAAACCAATGAGAATTTGCTACAGGTGTTCGACATCGTCTTCAGTTATGGACAGACGGGACCGTTTTTGAACATTTCTCGCGGAATTCATTAACTCAATGGGGGTGACAGATATCCTCGTATAACCGCTAAGTACTTCTAATTCTTGTCTAGATTATACCGGCAATTTAAAAATAGAACCTTTATTCTTCTGCAAAGATAAAAATCCACTAAGGATTACAAGAATTACGGCGGCCCCGGCGGCCAACGGTTGGGATCAAAGACATCTAAATATAGGTAGACAGAACACTCCATTCATAAAACTCAATTTTTTAGAATCATACATGGTTTGACACTTTTATGAGAGTTAAAAAGAGATGGGTACATAAATATGACAACACGGTTGAGTTTCGTCTATCTTGCTGTCATTTCGCTCCATCAGTGGCGTGACGGTGGTGTGGTGTTTTTTATCCAAAATTGTAAAAAAAGTTTATTTTGTGTATTTTAATTTAAATTTTAATTTGTAATATACGTGGTAATATCGATAATATACAATGTAGGGGCGTTTGCACCAAGTTTTTTAAGCAAAACTTAACATTATGTTTAGCTTATTTTCTTGAACTATGCTTTAATCTAACTTGAATTTATATTTAAATTAAGCGGTCAAATTTCCAGGCTAGTGGCCACTTAACCTGACTAAGGCACAAAAAATTTGTTTTACGAGGAAGTATAATTATTTTTATTATATTCCTTTGAGAAAGCTAAAAAGTGTATTATGATACCTCTACGTAAGTTCGATGATTACTTTTGATATCTTAGAGACGTCGATCAGTAGGTATATTCATTGAAAATGGATTTCCTCAAGAGTGGATGTAAGGAAAAATCATATTTCCAAGAAATGAACCTCCTTAAGTCTTTAGGACAGAGACTTTTAAATGACACTGTAATATATATCCTCGGTTTAATTGAACAAAATCTAGAATATCAATATGAGAGGTAAGTTGGAATTCTAGTAAATCTAATGTAAGATAAATTAATTATATTTATACTTTGAACCATCTTTCTTTACTATTTCCAGAAACAACAGCAAAAGTGTTTTAAATCAACTCTTGTGTATATTAAGATTCTACACTTCAGGGGCTATGTCCAGTCTACAGCTTTTTTTATGGGCATGTATGTTTGTTTCTACCACTTCTCGTATTATGTTACAAAAGTATCCCATGAACTTCCACTGCTTTACCCTCAGTTCATAAAAATGCCTGAATAAGAAACTCTAGTTTTAGAGCAGGAACAATTTTATAGTATATTTGGGTTTCCTTGGATTATAGGGATAGTTGATGGAACACAATGTAAGAAAACATTCACCTGGTAAGTACCTATATGTTATATTTTCTTCAATATTTATCAGCACAAGATTTCTTATACTTTACAGGGGGTAATGATGGAGAGGTATTTAGAAATAGAAAAGCATTATTTTCCCCAACATTTAAATTACTGGAAATGCTAGTCTTAAAACTATAGACAATAGACATGATTGCTTGTTGGCACGGGTCTGTGCATGAAGCCACCATTTTTTGGATATTAAGGACGTATTAAGGACCCGCTTGGAGACTCAAAAATGTGACTTTTCAAATTAAATCCTGCTTGGTTAGTGGTCCATATATTTACTTATTGTTAGATCATTTATATAAAATATATTCCTTAAATATTTGAGTAGGTATTCAATTTAGAAATATATTACGAATAAGATGAATTGAAAGAAATTTTTTAAAATTAAATGTGAAAATATTCAAAGGGTTCATATACTCTATTAAATTATTTTATTATCTGTTATAAGGTGATAGTGCATATGCATTGAGGGGATATATGCAGAAAGAGAGCTGAAGAACTGTATTACTGAAGAAATGTTTCAGAATTATCGGAATATGGAAACGCCACTTTCCAATATGTTTTATGGTATAAGACCAAAATTGCAAACCACAATGTCAGTTATTGTTGCACAACAGTGAGTTAAGAAAAATATTATCTGTTTAATTATAGAACACAATTTAAAAATTTTAATGTATGTACTTAAATTTTTAGATTTTGTTGTTTCAATGTGCTACACAATACAGCCAGAATGATACCTGAACAAGAGCTGCCGCCGTTAGATGAAATAAATATGGACCAAATTAATAAGAAGAGAAATAATAAATTATTTTGAAAGATTAGGGCAATATTTTTTTAACTTATTCTAAACATGTTTTTATGTTGCTAATGTTGCTGTTGTTTTTTTGTTTTTGAGTATTAATTTCTATAAAATATCATTATTAAATGTCTTTTATTCAGAAATAACATACATTACAGTTTTTACATTACAATATAAACAATAATTAAAATTATTAAATAAGTTCTCTTTAAGAACTTCACTGTTCTTTTTTTATTTCAATGTCTACAAGCAACCCTTTTTTTCTTTAGCTTATGTTCTTCTCTGTTTTGACTACTACTACTTTGAATTTTGTCCATCTCCATATTACAAAAGAACAGCCTTTTGTCTAGTAAATTACTATCTTCCCTTTTCTTCAGTTTCTTTGTAACCATCAGTATTGTTTTGAGACTGAAAAATATCTAATTATATTGAATTCTCTTAAAAGTAATAAAAATTCAAAAACACAATGAAAGGTTAGTACTTACAATACCAGTACTCCCTATTAGTTTTAGACAATCTATCACCATCGTATGTTTTTTAATCCCACAATGCTCTTCTCATTTTTACATTAATTGAATATATTATTATCTTCCGTTTTTGTTTTTGTATATGTAGACCTCCACCAGTTAGTTAAAATATATTTTAATAATTGCCTTTCTTTTACATAGATTTAAACATATGTTGTAAGCTGTTTTTCTTTTTGCGACTCTATGATTGGCCTTTCTTTTAAAGTAAGTCCAATAATATACAATTAAATTATTTCAAAATTACTAAAAAGTATGTTGTTCTTATATTTTGATAATTTTTTATATGAATATTTTGTAAATCCATTCTGAGAGTTAAAAATATCAAAAATATTGGGCCAGTTTATGTATCCTTTATAAAATTCTATGTTTTCGGTGAATAAAATTACAATGTTAAAGCAAAGGATAGTAGCAGAGGATTGGATTTTTGTGTGGCAGGTCCTTTTAACATTCTTTCAAAAATACTTTGTGCTGGCCCAGCTAGGGAAGCCTAAAAAAACATATATTATCTCTGTTAATATTATACCTCTATAATATTATTATTAGTCTTTTTTAGACACATCCAAATTCACTAAAGGGTTTTAAAATTTAGACCTGGCCTTGTCATGGAAATTAGAACCTTCCATTAATCGTATTTATGCCACTGTCATATGGATTAGTATATCATTCACAAAATTAAACCAGAACCAACTTTAAAACTTGTTAATGAATCTTGGCAGATTTTGGCATAATGGCTTTAGGACTAAAGTAATAAATGGCTGATAACTTTACATTATTAGAGTTCCCCTCCGCCACTCAGATATATACATATATAGTGCGTCCAAGATAACAATTATAAGCATTGAAATCTCAGAAAGGTAAGAGATACAGGGTCAATTAGAAATTGCTTTTAGCGATTTTTGTTTTTTTGGATCTTCACATAATAACCATTATGTTTTTAAAATGTCACCCTGCATACCTATATTTATACCCTTATGGTCAATTCAGATGATTCACTTATCAAAGATTTTTCTTTTAAGTAATCAATTAATTGATGCATTGATGTTATTTTATTTTTCAATCTTCTTAGACCCATTTGTAAAGTATATATTTTTCATTTTCTTTGTTCCCAAATTTTTATGAGACTTAAATTTCTACATAATATCATTATTATACCTCATTAACATACTTCTTTCTGAAATTAAATATCTTTTGCACAATTTTACTTGAGATACAGGGTGGCGCCTCTCATATGCTACCAAGGAGTACGACAGTTTGTATTGAAATTAAATTTTGGGGGCATATGTAGGTTAATTTAGAGAATTTAAACATATAAATGTATAAAATATGTGCTTTTTAAAAATAGAGAGTTCTACAGGGTGTCACCAAAAAAGTTACACAACAAAGTTTTGTTTTTTTGTAATGTAAATTTGTTTTTTTTTGCAAAGTTTTGTTTTTGTAATATTTGATTTTTGGATTCTATGAGAAAAATAAAGGTGAATTTCATTATTGGACTAAAATGTAAGGTTTTTAACATATTTAAAATTTTGTACTTGAAATCAGATTACAACAGGACTTAAACAGTTATACAGGGGTGACAAAATTAATATTGAATATTGACCACTTTTAAAAGCAAGTTTCTCTTTTATTTCAAATGGAACACGCAGAATACTATTCTGATCTTTTAATTGTAGTGTGCATTCATCAATTAATAGAATGCTTAAATGTCAAATGTATGAATGTGTAAAGTACCATTTAGGTAGCTCTTACTGAAATTTAAAGTTTATTCATTATTTTCACCAAATGTGATATGACAAGCCTTACATTTTAGTATTTTAGACATATGCTTCTTTAATGAAACTCACCTTTATTTCTTTCCTAGAATCCGAAAATCAATTATGTAATTTATAAGGTGTTCCATTACAAAAAAAAACTTTGATGCGTAACTTTTTCTGGGGACACCCCGCAGAACTCTTGATATTTCTGTAAAACGCTTTCTATTATCCTACATATGCTTCCAAAATTACATTTCAATATAAACCACTATTCTCTTTGGAGCCTCCGCGTCGTATGAGAGGCGCCACCCTGTATATAATGTACAGATAATTTTTACCTTTTTCTGATAGGACTTCTTGAGCCAATAAATATCCAACTATTGAAAGATCAGAAAATGAGAATTATCTTACTATGCTGTAAACAAAAAAAAACATTAATAATTAATTTTTCAATAAAAATAACTATATTTTTTGTTCTTTAAATTTTTCGTAAATACTAATAATTTCCTTCTAATGGTATTATTAAATTTATCATGGGAAGTTTAAACAAGAAGGTTTTTTAGTGCAAAGAGCAAAAGCTCATGCATATAAAATATATGTATGTAAACAATATTAAAATACCATATGATCGAAAAAAAATGGCGTCCAGTTGGCTGGGAAATGACGATCGATGACATTTCCCATATAAATTTACATATAAAATGACAGCGATCTTCATTTCATAGCCATCGCTGACGCCGTTTTTTCTCGATCATACGGTACATGTATAAAATATATTTTATCAATGCTCTTACAAATTTAAGGGGCCAGCCAAGGAACAAGCCAAACTGCCAGTCCCTCAGCTGGTCTGGAGGCTCATTTACGTAAAATATTTTTTGGGTGGAGTGCGAACTAGAAGAAAACCTAGCCTAAATAATACTAATATTGTTACAATACTTTGTAACTGATAAAATGTATTTCACTGCTTTTTACCTGCATGATAAGGCCCCAGCAAAAATGGTAGTATCTATTTGAGGCTCAGCATTTGGTCTTATTTGCCTTCAACCAGTTTATTCGGTGATCATAATATCGCTCTTATCAAACTTATCAGAACAAATTTGATTGCACACTTTTGATTGATTTTCCAAATTCTAGAGTGAAATGCTTCGCTGTCTACGCTCAGTATTTACAGTAAAGCTACAAAAATACTATTGGTTACATATGCAACACATACATAATATATATAAAGTATAATAAACCTAATTGATAAAATATGTAAAATAAAAATATGTGGTAAAAAAGGCAAAATTAACCTAAAGGAAAAATCTAGGTTTATACATATATATAGTTATTTTATTATTTTTTTAATTTGAGTGTAGGACAGACTTATATCTTTATAATAAATAAATAATAGATCAATCTTACCTATAATATATGTTACGGTTAATATCTAAAACCTGCTAATAATAACTAGAGCTCAAATATACCATGTAGATCGTAAAAACAGTTTTCTTTCAACATTAGGGGAAGAATTACACAATAGCTAAAGTCTGAAGCTCTGGTCTGAAGTAATTGTAAAAATGGTGATGGTACCTTTTATGTACGCCGCCAATCTTAAAGTTATTGATGTAAATTTGATTGATATTCTACAAATAATGTATTAACTGTTTAAGTACGGATACTCGGCTAAATGTTTGAGATCACTTCATTATTTATTTTTTGACAAAATTTGAGGTTAGAATATACCTTTTGCTCGCGTCTGCGCGTATGGCTGGCGGTAACAATGAAATATTGAAAATCTGGATTTTATTTTATTTATATTTTCCTATTAATTTTGAAAAATAGCGATAGCAATTTTGATATTCAAATTTCAGGTATTAACTACCTATAATAGCTGTTTTATTGGTACAGATATTAGCCATAACATCCACAATTTTTAAAACATTTATAGCGGTTTCGAATGTGTGTGTAATTCTAATTTCACAATCGAAAACGCTATCTAATAACAAAATATACGCATTTTTGTAATAATCTACGTATAGTTCTAAATAGTAGAGACGCCACTGTTAAAGCTAGAAAGACGTAATGTTACTTACCGCCGAAATATCAATCCAGGGGTAGAATAATCCACCTTTTTACAAATTATGCACTTGCGAACCACCGTAGATAGTTAAAATACTACTTTGAACAGTTTTCTTCGCAAAAACGCAATAATTGCTTGAAAACCTGTTAAAACCAAAAAAATTCACAACCATAAAGGAAATCTCGCAACAACGGCCTGTAAAACATTTGATGAATGAAACCGTCAAAAATCAGCGTAATTCCTACAGATTCCTACAATTTGTAGTAAAATCTCAACCACAACGATGCCAAGCGTTGCCACAGTAACTTCCCTAATATATTTTGATATAATAATTTAAACAGAAAAAGTAATTTCTAAAGATAATTTCAAAGGTATAATCTATGTATTTTAATTAAAATTATATACCTACACAAATATTTAGTTTAACGTATCTATCGTACCCAAAAAACATTAATAAGAATAATAACATTTTTAACAACAATACTACAATCTATAGGCGCAAGGGAAATCTGTCATCATCGATTTTTGTGCAACACGGTTCGTGATCGCGGTAAAATGTAAGTTGTTTTGTCTCCCTTTATTTAGATGTCTTTGGTTGGGATCTTGGTAGCTATTCAATTATTTTCGAAATTGGCTGCAAAAATTTGCCGATAACTTCAGCGTTCTGTAGCAGTGCCTCGTTTTGCTGGAAAAATAGGTTTTCGTGTGCCATTAGTGGCAGATCATCAATAAGGAGTCCAAATCATACTAGTTAAAAGTGACGAACTTTTAAAAATTCTGTATTTCGAAGGGAACTATAACACAATATCAAGTGTGCTATTTTTTTGGAAAGGCAATTTTAAGTTCTTTTCACTTAATTAAAAATATACAGGGTGTTCCAAATAAAAAATAAATTTTTCTGTTGATAACTCTTAAATTATTATTTTTAAAAAGTTACACTTAAACCATTATATTTTACGTAAAAAATGCCATGGAAATGTTTTCACAAAAATATAAAATATTCCTGCACGTCACTGGTTTATTCAAATCATGGACTTATATACACCATATTGTAGCTAGAATAGTCTGTAACTAGAATTTGTTTAATAAAGTTAACGGTACATATATTTAACAGAAACTAAAAAATTGTGCTTTTAGGGGTGGTTTTGGGGTGGTTTGCACAGTAGTTAATCAGGGCCATAATGGTGATAACTGGTAACTAACTACAAAAACTCAGCTTTAGGAGATTTTTTCCCACAAAGCTCCTTAATTATCATGGATTATTAAATCACATATCGTTTTGAAAAGAACTAATTTTAAATATTAAGTCAGCTTTCAAAAAATTACTTAAAATCAAATGACTTAAGTCATTAAAATGATTGAAATCAAAAAAACACTTCAGCTTTCTGTGAGCTTGCAGCGCTAGTAATGTTTAACTCTTATTATAACATATAAAAAAAACCTTAATCGCTTTACTTGCTTTCTGTGTGGCCGTGGGCTAAGAGTTTTTCGCCAAACAATTCAAACTAATAAAGTAAATGAAATTAAATGACAATAAAGCAGTAAGAATAAAAGACAATTTAATTTCTTCTGCATGAAACAAGAAAGAGACCATAGAAGTTAGCAGACAATTATGTCTGGCTAATAACGAAAAATATTTTTAAAGAAAGGAAGATGGCCTTCACCTTGGCAGTGAACATTTTCCTACGGTTGACTGGTCACTCAGTCGTATCTGAAATGAATAAATAAAAAGATAACTCGTTATTTTTAGAAGAAAAAAGCACAACGTGTTTATCGTTTATAAACCATCATTAAGTATAGAGTTATAAAATATTTTGCTTAAAATGTAATTTTGAATTTGAATAAAGGGTGAAAAAATAGCCTTCGTATTATTCTACTAGCGATTCTAGATTAATAATTTCTAGTTTATAAAATGTAAATATACTTGATTTTCTTATAGAAATATATATAGAATACATTTTAGTATTAACCCCATACTAACTATGCGCTGATGCGTCCATTTGATTCGTCCATGCACATTACTATGACGCGCTTCGTCGATGCGGTGCCGGTGCGTGGATGGGGTTTGTCCATAGATTTAGGAAGAACAGATATCACATTTTACATTTTAACCCGATCAAACAATCGGAGGTTGACTACGTACTGTAAAAAACAACTGAGATAGAGAAGGCGACATTGCCACATCTCAAATTTGCGCCTATCTACTTAGTTTGATTTGCAGAAAAGGTGACTTTAAAACCTTCACCGGATATCAATAAATCTCAATTTTGTAATTAAATTAATAGTTTATTTTTAAAGAAGCATGCGTAATAATATGTTATTAACCAGAGGATATATGGCGTTACTATTAAAGGACATGTTTACTGTTTAATGTGCTGAAACGTCTAGAACTATTGGCAACGTCGCTGCTAATCTTCCAGAATGAAATGAGCCGTCCGTCCCACCACCCCTCGCGACGGCCCTTGGTCCGTTATAGCGTACTACCCTTGTACTACGTTTAGCTTACGGTATGTTTGAAGTCGGAATCAAGTTCGAAGTGAACTTTTCAGTGTTTTTCAGTAGTTTTTGCTTTTGCTTAACGTACTTTTGAATCTGCGAATTTTCAATATGGTACGACAGTGTCAAATGTGTGGAAAAATAAGCTCAAATTACCCGAATTTGTCTTTTCACAGGTAGGTATTGTTTCCGCCGCGCCATAATCGCCGTACATAGGCGTCTCACAAGGGAGCCTCTCACAATTAAAATAATTTTTAATTATATTTGTTGAATTTTGAGCTATTAAAACAAGAACGTAGTAGCCGGTAATTATAATTCGTCTCAATTACTACTTAACTGTTGTAGATCATAACAAATTTGAATATAAACGTTGCATTTGAAACTTTATTATAAGCCAGAAAGTGACATTTTTTTTCTTAAAATTTTGGTCATTATATACGATATTCTAAAGGAATTTTGCTCAACAAATAAACAAAGGTGTTTACTCGCCCTTTTTTACATTTCATTGCATTATTATATCTGCCCCTTCGGCCTCGTTTAAACAATTTTTTACCACCGTACAAATACTTCTTCCTAGAGTTATTTGTACGGTGTGTTTACCTTTTTTTTAGAATGGGACCAACTGTAAACAATTCTTAGGCTACTAGTTTTATACATACCTATATACAGAGTGACCCAGGCCTCCAAAAAAGCTTTTTACCTATTACGTTTTTGGTTTGTAATTTTTATTTTAATTTTTTACATAAGATGGGGGCCATTGTAACGCACATTTTCAAAATATTTTTGTCAACATACAGGGTGATTCTCGGGGTGATTCAAACCGCAATACATATGCTTAATACAGTTCATGAAGATTGGGACATTTAACTAAAATTTGATCGTCTGATGAAGCTACCTTTAAAAGTAATGGATTTGTAAATAAACGTAATATTCATTATTATGCGACAGAAATCCCATACTGTAGCACACAGATTTGATACTTTTAGTGATAAATGCCTTCTATTGAGAGACTAAAAGGTAATTGTCTCGTATCAGAGCCATCATAATACAAGAAGAAGACCGAAAGAGTCAAATATTGTCTTATATTTTCAAAGAAACACAATTTTCTCATTAAATATTTATTTTGGGTATAGGAAGTTATTAATAATACAAGATTAAACATCTATTACACAGTACTTTACAGGAAGCTATCGATTGCGAACTAACTAAATCGTTACTAATTACTAATTTTAAAAAGTTCTTTTTAAGATCAAAAAAGGTAAAACTAAAACCTAAATTATCATTTGAGATTAAATGGGAAGTTCTAAATAATGTTGCCTATTTTAAACAAGAAAAAATTATTTACAAGTTTTATAACATCTCTAATTAAATTTGGACGAAAATAATATTTCTGTTTGCTGTAGGTAATTTTCTCAGGGAAAATACGTAAATAAAAATGACTTTTTAAGTCAAAAAAGTCAAAAGGACAAGTTAGTCCAAAAGGACTGTCCTTTTCAAAAAGGACAGGTGGCAACCCTAGGTATTTCTGGAATGGAAATTTATTGGCAAATCTACAACTTTAGTTTGAAAATATGTTCCGGCCACCTATGTTTACAAAAATGTCTAAAATGTGCTTTACCATTGCCTCCATATTCTGAAAAAAAAAATTGAAAGAAAAGTCACCAACCACAAACCTAATATAGAACTGTTTCGGAAGCTTGAGTCACCCTGTAAATATTCAAAAGTAACTGAAAGTTTATATAGAATTAACTGAAAGTTTAAATTGAAAATCGACATTGGAGCGATTTTCGAAAACTACCTACTAATGTTTGAACATAAGTATATGTGGGATATTAATTATATTATTATATTAGACCTTATAATAAAACTCACCTGACGAAAAAGTGTTAATGTAGTATATTAATATGGAGTAAACATTTTACTAATTACTTTACTTTTACTTTACTAATTAAATTCGTTCCAAAAAACGATACGCCACTGGCCATTAGAACAATCCAAATGAGCCTAGTTGCCGGGGTCGGAAATTTTACACTTCTCTGTCTCTTCTGTCCTTGTTTGACACATTGGAATGTTTGATACACTACCAACGAGTATTTATGAATGAGATGTTCGGTCTATATTTATAATGTCTTTGGGTTTGTCGATACGATTCGTTAGTTCGTTTAGAACTTCGTCCATTCTATACGTGATATTTCTTTTGATGGTTTCCCCAAAAACTGACATTTCCCCGAAGCGCCGCACATCCCATCGCATCGACGCATTAACGAACCACATCAGCACATTAGTGGGTATGGGACTTTAGAGAAAATATATAGAATTTTGAAATAAGAATATGCAGTTAAAAATAATATTAGAGATCACAAAACTACGAAAACTTATTTTTGACCAATTTTTATTTTTATCAGTAAAATAAAAAGAACATATCATTTTTTAAATTTCAGTTACAAAAAATTTGTGAAAAATTTAACATATCTATAATTAAAATTTTGCTATTTTCTATACTTAGTCT